ACACCCCTCCCCCCGAACCCCCCAAAGGTCGCCATGAAGATTGGCCGCGGCGACTGGTCCCCCTCCTCAGCCAACGTCAACGTGGGCCAGAAGGAATGGAAGCTCGCCAGCAGCGGCCAAAACATGGCCGTGTGGGTTGCGGTCACATGACCCTGCGGCCGCCACACGCGCGGCGCGGGCTGGGGGAGAGAGACCCAGGCGCCGCCCTGGCCGTGACGCGGGGGGTTCCTTTGCCTTGGCTCAGCTGCGGCGTCGGTGGTGGCGCGCTCGCACGCACGCCGGGGGCTTTTTGTTCGCTCGGGTGCGCCGGCGGTACGCCCGCGCCCGTCGCATCCCCACCCCTCGCAAGCAGCTATCACCGGTCTTAAGACTGAGCGGCGGCGGCCGGTGGGTGCGGGGCGGGAGGCTGCGGCGGGCGCCCGAGTTGTAGCCGCCCCTTGTGTGCCGGCGCGCCCACAACGCTGCGGCCAGTGCATCCGGTTGTGTTCGCTCAACCCCAATTCTCGACTGCTGGGTGTCATCTAGAGCCCAGAGCATTGGCACGGGGGTCGCCCTTGCCCACTAACCCCGCCTACGTCACGCCCTGGCTCCCCCCCTGCATCTTTGCATTATCCTGCCTGCAACCCTCCTCCTGCCGCGGCCGCGGCACGCGCACCGGCCTCGGCGCGGCTGTGAGCCCCAACTCGCCGGATCCCTCCTTTTATAAATGCTTCTTTTTTTGGAGGGCCTCCCACAGCGCGGCGGCAATGCGCCCACGCCTTGAGGAGGGCCGCCCTTTCCTACCCCACCCCTTCACAACATTTTCTGAGCGCCTGACATGGTGGCTTGCTGCTTTGGTATGAAGCGGGTTGGCGGGCAGCGTTGGTCCCATCTGTGGCGGAGGCGACGCAGACGCGGCCGGACTAGCCGGTCGTTCTGTCTCCCTGCCTGATTGGTAGCGAGGCATTGAAATTTGCGTTTTTTGTGCGTCAAGCCGGGCCGCAAGACCCGGGCCGGCGCGGGTGGAACAATCAACACAAGCTGCAATTCAGTCACTCCACTACAGATCAATACCAGACTGCTGTTGGAGCGCCGTGGACACACATTGCCTGTGAAATCAGGCACAACACCGCATTGAGCGCGTACACAAGCCCAATCCCAGCCACAGTCCTGCTCAATTCATCCTGCCGTGCGTGAAGGCGCGATATAACCTGTCAGTGCCCACAAGGCGAGGCGCGGGTCAGCGCCGCCAGTTCTGCTGCCAGTTGTGACGCCTGTTGAGCTGCCCATTGGTGAGATGTCGAAGACGCTGATGGGCGAGAGCGGGTCCTGGCTAACAAACGTAGGGTGCTGGGCGGCGACAGTGGGTGTTGGTGCAGCGCGCACCCAGGGTGTGGAGCGGCTGCGCGACAGCATCATGGCAACGCCTTGACCAACCACCCCATGCGCGTGTGCGAAGATTCTGAATTAGCTTGGTGGGGTTGGTCTTGCTCAGGCCCTGCAGAAGGTCAGTCCGCCACATCAACACGCAACAGCTTCCCTGGGGGAGACAGGGTTGAAAGCTGAGCCTCCTTGAGGGGGTGGCCTGTCAAGAACGGCAGACTCGCTCCGAATGGGCTGGGCTGGTTGACATGGAACCATTTGCACTAAGTTCTGCTGTGGCGTAAAAGTGCACGCTACATCAACAGCAACGATTTACATCTCTGAGCCAAGTCGCGCTGTATGTGGATGCGAGGCAAGCTTGGAGCGGCAATACACTAGGGTGCTGCAGTGGCTGTTGCACAAAAGCCCACACACGAATCCAGGAGGCTGCTGCAGCACCAAACACGCCCGGGAGCACCTGGAGGGAAGCAGGTGGCCAGTGGCCGAGGCAGTAAAAACACCACCCGCGTTAATGTCTGGCGGGCAGTAAAAACACCGCGCGCCCCACGGTGATGTTGCACAAGCGGCAGACGGGGCACAGCAGCAGACGGGGCACAGCAGCAGCGCAGTCGTGTGAGCTGGGCTGTGGAACCGGCTTGTGTGCTTAGAAATACAACGGCAAGCTACAAGGCAAAACACCCTCATGTGGGTTATTGGAAGGCACATCAAAGGAAGGCCCCTGCAATCTCTGCCAAGGGTCCCCTTGTGCGATACGGTACTTGCCCAAAGGACGCGGCGCACCGCCTCATCCCAAGCTTCCAGCACACAGGCGTGTCGCAGGCACTCTACAGCAAGTGCTTTAGGCTGGCTGCTACGACGCCACAACCGGCACAGCGCCCATCGGCCAGCGGACCAAGGAGTTCAGCTGAGCCACGGGAACTTGACGCTCTTCTTGTCGCGAATCTCGCGCCTCAGCTCGGCCATCTCAGCGTTCACCTTGTCGAGCTTGCCGTTGATCTCCTTCCGAAAGGCTTCGTTCTCAGCGCGGATGCGGTCCAGGCTGTTCATGTGCCTCTCGAAGAGGTCCATCACCACTTTGATGACGCCGGGGCTCGCTTCTGCTTCACTGGCGAAGCCTCTGCCGGTAGTGGCCAGCACAGTGTGCCTGATCACGAGCGCGCGCTGCATGGTTGCTATTTGCTGTCTAGTGTAGATAATGTGGTTTTTGTATCTGGACTGAACTACTGAAGTACGTGTATGCACACGGCTCGTGACTGTGACTAATCCAGTCTTGGACGCGCCAGCTGGGCGGTCGGGCCTCAGTTCAAGGCACGGTGATCACCCCAGTCTCGAGGGCTTGTGTCATGCGTGTTATGGTGCCCAGATCACCATCCAAAATCCTTGAGACAGGGGCTGATCAATGCTTTGAGTTAGGCACCGCATACGCATGTCCCGCTGCATCGCCGATATCACAGAGGATAACAAAGAGGACCCCCAACCTGACCGGGCACGGTACATTGTGCTCATTTTATGGAGCATCACCCCCAAACCTGACGGGGCCAGGCTCAAAACCAAGGGGCCGCTGCTCACACTCGCCTAGGAGACAACTGGCCCTGCAGGACAAGATGGGAACCTGCGCTCTGTGCATAACCTTTACACAACACAACATCATGCTTTGCCAGCAGCGAGGGGACACCCCTGCGGAAAGTGCGCGCGCGCGCGCGCGTGCGTGCGTGCGTGCGTGCGTGCGTGCGTGCGTGCGTGCGTGCGTGCGTGCGTGCGTGCGTGCGTGCGTGCGTGTGTGTGTGTGTGTGTGTGTGCGCGCGCGCGCGTGCGTGCGTGCGTGCGTGCGTGCGTGCGCGTGTGTGTGCGTGTGTGTGCGTGTGTGTGCGTGTGTGTGCGTGTGTGTGTGTGTGTAAGGGGTTACCGCTCCAAGCGTCCAAGACCAGGGGAGCAACAGGAGGTTGCGGCCGAGTGTGGAGTTGGTGAGTGCGTGCGCCTCCCCAGCAATAGATAAAACCGAGCCTCCTTCCGGGCAAAACGGATGAAAATCTCGTCAAGGTGGGCCGCCGGACACGGGCGGCCAGGCTCGCACACACATGGGTGGGATTGCACATACGAGCTGCAAAACAGTTAGGGTAAGGCGAACAAACACAGCCATACATTGATGCTGGGGTGCCTCGGACGCACATTGCCTGTGCCATCAGGCCACCATGTTATGTGTATGCTCATTCCCCTCGTTTAGTCACGCATGGCCGCCAGAGCGCCATGCTGATCAGCATCATTCTCGATGTGGAGCCCGCGGCGGTGGGGATTGAGGGATGACTGGGGAGCCGCGGCAGCAGCTGCAATTTTGCGCAAGCATGACGACTGTGCATGCTGAATGGTTGACAGCGCAGTGACGACTGGCATAAAGTATTTGCAACAACGCGTTCAGCTCAAAATGCTCGGCGCTCGACGCTTGCCATTGGTCCCGGCTGCACTGACATCGTCGAGAAGCGGGTCGATCGCGCGATCCTTCTTCTTTGGACGCCGACAAAGTGCTCAACAATCTCCGGAGATGGCCTCCAAGTGGTGGAGTAGCGAGGACGTGGCGGTCGTCACGGGTGCGTCACGCCTGCACACACCGCGCTGTCACACCCACCCAGTGCTCATGCAGCAAAAGCCAGAGCCGCTGCCTGGCTCCATGCGTCGTGCCCAGTGCACCTGATCGATCGCATGGGGCCGCTCTCCTTCCTTGCCTCCCCGCCATGCGCCGCAGGGGCGAACAAGGGCATCGGCTATGAGATTGCGCGCCTGCTAGCTGAGGCCGGCTTCCGCGTTATCGTGACCGCCCGCAACCGTGAGTAGCTGCCCGCGATGCGTGTACATGGGGCGAAAACACAGCATGGCGGCGGCGTCCGTCGTTGCGCGCACTTGATTTTTCGCACCTGCTGCTTGCGAGCCCGCTTTGCCGTGCGTCGAGGGCCCAAAGCAAGCCCCCATTAGCCGCGCCGGCCTTGCCCTGTTACACCCCTCCTTCCCAATGACCAACCCTCCTCCCCCTCCCTGGCCCCACCCCCACCTGCAAATCCCACTGACCCGCGCCCCACCACTCGTCTGGCGCCTCACGCCTCACATACCCAGCCGAGCTGGGCGCCGCCGCCCTGGAGAAGCTCAAGGGGCTGCCCTCCATCTCAGATCCCTCGGCCCTGGGATTCGAACGGCTGGACATCTCCGACAAAGCGTCGATAGAAGTGGGCGCCGGCGCGGCTGGGGCCTCGCAACGGGCGAAGGGGTGAAACGGATTGCAAAGCGCCGGGCGCTCGCAAGCGGCCGTCAACACGGGAGTACGCCGCGCCGCCCCCTGGCGCCGCGCGGCACGCCGTCCCTACGGGGGCGCTGCGCTTGGGCCTGGGCGCGCCGGGCGCTGGGAGCGCCGCATCCTGCGGGCGCGTAAACCCTAAACCCTAATCTAGCGCTCGAACTACATGCGGTTTGGTCGCTCGGCCGTCCCGTCCCGCCAGAGGCCCCTGAACAGTTCTTAACCCTCCCACACCTTTGCTGCAAACACCCCGCTCCCCACCCTCATCCGCCGCCCCTCCTCCCCCCATACAACACACCCCACGCCATCAGGCCTTCAAAGCCCAGCTGGAGGCGCGCCACCCCGGCAGGCTGGTTGTGTTGGTCAACAACGCCGGCGTGGCGTTCAAGGGGGACGTGTTTGGCGCAGAGGAGTGCAAGGCCACGATAGACACAAACTTCAGGGGCACCGCGGACGCGTGCGAGGCGCTGGCGCCACTGCTGGCAGAGGGGCGGGGGCGGATCATCAACGTCAGCAGCGGGTGGGCGGCCGCGGTCAAACCCTGGTCAACGAACTCGATTTGCTGCTGCCGCGGTGCTGTCTGTCACACACGGATTCAATTGCAGCAGTGACGGCGCTGGCAGCGGCGCGAGGGGCGCAGGCGGGGCTTTCAGATGCCGCCGGTGACGACATCCGCCATGCCTGCAGCCGCAGCGCCTCTCGCGCAGGGAGCCCACGCACGCCCTGCGACTCCCCAACACCAGCAGCCAACGGCCAAGAAATGCACCCAGCAGCGCGCACTACAACAACACGTTGACAGACAATCGACCCCCTTGCCCCCTCGTCTGCGTCCCGATGCAGCGCCGGCGACCTGTCGCGCATCCCTGGCGCCGCCCTGAGGGCCCAGTTCGAGTCCCCTGTTGACCGCCCCCAGCTGGAGGCCCTGGCTGACAAATTTGTGGCTGACATCAAGGCCGGCTCATACAAGGCTGAGGGGTGGCCGGCAAGCATGTACGGCATATCGAAGGTGCCCCAGGGGGGTTGGGGTCCGTGGGGGGCGCGTGCGTTCAAGGGACGGGGGGTAGTGGAGTGAAGCACAGCGCCGCAGGTCGCAGCGGGGCGGAGCGAGGGGCGGACGCGGTGTGGCGGTGGTGGGTGCGGAGGGGTGGCAGGAGTGGAGGCGGCAGGTGCGTTGCTGTGAGGCTGGTGCCCATCTGCTGTGTTCTATTTGCAGCAGTCTAACCCCTGAACTCACGCAGCTCCAGCAAATCTTATTCTCATATCATGTTGTATTACACAACGCCTCCCATCTTCCCCCATCCAACCCCGTAGGCCCTGGAGACCGCCTACACGCGCGTGCTGGCCAAGCAGCTGGAGGGCCGCGGCATCATGGTCAACGCAGTCTGGTGGGCGGGGGGCGGGGGGCGGGACCGACAGCGCAAGTGGGCGGACGGTGCCGCAGCCGCGGCCTTTCCTTGGGTCTGGATGGCCCCTCCACGCCCGTCGCGGCCAAACAGTTGCCAGCTGTGCGCAGATCCCAGACTGCACTTTCAAACAAGTGCCAAGAAGGAGATCATGAAAGTTTGCAGTTTGTGCTGCTTTTGTATGCTACGATTGATCCCTCGCTCCCCGCCCGTTCTCGCTCCTTGAGCCCCCCCCCTCACCTGCGTGCGCCGCACCCCACTCGTCCCCCCCTGCATCAGCCCCGGCTGGTGCGCCACCGACATGAGCAGCTGGGGCGGCCCCAGGACGGCCGCCCAGGGCGCGGACACGCCGGTGTGGCTGGCCACCCTGCCACCCCCGGGGGTGGACGGGGGGGAGCTCGTCACCGGGGCTTTCTGGAGGGATCGCCAGCGGATTCCTTTTTGAGTCCAGGTCGCTCCACCCCTCCCCCTTTGGCAGCTTCGTACAGCAATCTCTTGGTGGCAGGCGAATGACTGATTGTCCCTTCAAACTGAAGATATTGCATCAGCCATGCCGCACTTGGTCCCGTTTTCACCGTGGGCGGGGATTTGAAGCTGCGGCGCCACTCAGCGCTGCCATATGCTTAGCAGCAGCGGCTCTTGTCCTCGACAGCTGTGCATGGAGGGCATTTTCGGTCTGCACGTACTTTTGCAAATGTGCTGTGCTTCTTTTGCGTAAAGCACCTGGTGCCGCGACCAGGCCTAACTGGCCCGCGGCGCCGACTGGACCTTGGCGCCGCCCCTTGTGAGCCGCAACCTCAAGTTTCCGGCCCTCGTTGATGGACAGGCACCCGCTCGCCGATTCCGAATCTGTGCAGCTCCCCTCAGCTGTGACAACGAGGATCTGATGCAACACAGCACGCGCCGCTGCCAGGCAGGGGCAGGCTCAGGGCAGCTGCGCCTGCCACCAAGGCGCAGGGCATGGCGTCAACCATGCAACAACCCCTTTTTTTGCACCCGGGAAGCAACCGGGGGACTGTCCTTCGATAGAGTTAAACAGAAGTTGTAACACGAAACCTGTGCCTCAAGAAGTCTTTCAAACGGTGCGCTGCACGCCAAGGGCAGCTGTCCAGGATCTGTGCAGCCCAAGCACTGCGCCACTCTCCTACCTGCTTGCTAGCGCAAACAAACCGCAGCAGCCGCGCGCAACGTGCAATCTCACTGCAAGCAAGCAGAGAAAAGCATATCATTCGTGTCAGTCTCACACATTTCTAGCGTGGCTATTTGCGAAACCGCCCTGCGCGCGTGCACCAAAGCCCGACCCCAGCCACGGTCCTGCTCAATCCACCCTGTTGTGCACAAATGCGTGATGAAACACGTCCGAGCCGCGAAGGCGCTCCTCCCAGGGGCCGGCCACAGGGATAGCCAGCAGCCTGGCCATCACAACAGCTTTTGTTTTGGATTGATGTGGAGAAGAATATCGCCCATGTGTGGATTTGAACGGAAGAGGGGTGAGCACACTGATGTTCAGGCAGCAGCTGCAGCTGGGCAGAGTGTGTTGGGCGTCGCAAGAGGCAACCCATCATTGTGTGTGTGGCTAGCTTGGCACTAAATCGTCCAGACTGTCTGCCTTGCCTGCACAAGTATCCTCCCAGCCAGAAGTGCCGCGCTCCCATCACACTCACCCCTCGCGATTATGCCAAGGTTATGAAACAGCTGTGTGATGCCCTCCTTGCGCAGGCCCTGCAGAAGGTGCGCCACGCCTCTGCGCTGGAGTAACATACTTTTTGTGCGAGAGAGGAGGGGGAGCGAGCTTGAGCGGGTGGCCTGATGACAACAGCTTGCTTTGGATATGCAGGGCTGTTTCACCTGAACGATACGAGCAGCGAAGGCTTACAGTTGCACCAAAGCCTTGGCCCAAACAACACCCTACAATTCACAGCAACAGCAACTAGGCACAAACTTGGCTCAGGATGTAACAACACAAGATTCATGGGGAAGTTGTTTGTCAACATCAGCTAGATTAGGGGCGAGGCAAGCACGAAGCAGCAGTGCATTAGGGTGCTGCCGTGATTGTTGTACAAATGCCTGCAAGAGGATCAAGGAGACTGCGGCAGCATCAAACAGCGGCACAGAACACTTCTGAGGGGCACAGGTGACCGGTGGCCGGGAAGTCAAAGGCAACGGCGGGTAATGTGCGCTGGAGTCTGGCCGGCAGCAAGGGCACAAAGCAAGCGCGTCAGGCGCTCCACGGCGATGTTGCACCAGCGGCGAACGGGGCAGAGCAGCAGCGCAGTTGCGTCCCGGCGCGTGCGTGAGCTGGGCTGCAGAGGCGGCTTGTGTGCTTGAGGCAATGAGGAATGGCAAAAAAGAAACCATCCCCAGGTGGGTTGTCACCACAGGTGGGAGGGAGCAGGGAAGGCTTTTTGCTCTCTGTCGAAGGCCCCCTGCATGCCATGTGTGCCAAAGAGTCGCGGCCGCCTCATCCCAAGCTGCCACCACAGTGTAGAAAAGCCTAGGCCCACCACCGACAGCGGCCTGGAGGGTCTGCTGCAGGCACTCTACAGGAAGTACGCCAGGCCCGCTGCTGCGACGCCCGCAACCGGCACCGACCAGCAGACGAAGGAGTTCAGCAGCATCTGCTGCTCCCTTACTTCGTGAACCTCGCCGCTCAGCTTGTCGAACATGCCCTTGATCTCGTGCCGAAAGGCTTCGTTCTCAGCGCGCATGCGGTCCAGGCTCTCCAGGTGCATTCTCTGGAGGTCCCGCACCACTTTGATCACGCTGGGGCTCGTTTCTGCTTCAGTGGCGAAGCCTCTCGTTGCCAGCGCAGCGCGCCTGATGGCGAGGGCGCGCTGCATGGTTCCTACGGTACCGTTTTTGCTGTGTAGACAATGTGTGGTTTGCATCTCACTGAAATGCTAAAGCACATCATGTATATGCACAAAGCTTGTGACTCTTAAAAAGTTTCCGGCTGCGCCAACGGTCAACCGCAGGCATGCAAGAAGCTGCTGGGAGCACCCACACCCTGGATTGGTGTGCAGGTGCGCCCTCGCGCCAGGCACCGTCGCGCCAGTACACGAGACGGTGGCAGTTGGCTACGACTCCCAAGGTAGTTGAGGCATCTTTTCATTTTTCCCAGCCCTGACGTGCTGGCGCCCAGAGGATTCCACACTGAGAAGCTGTGCACACCGTTGAACCAGACACGTCGGCCCGCCAATGCACACCATGTTGGAGACTTACACGCTTCCACGCTGTGCACAGCTCTGCACGCTGCAGCGTGCCAGGCGCAAGCCACATACGTTTGGCAACGCAGCGACCGGCTCGCCTGGCCCTTCCTGAGCGCAGTGTACACCAACGATGCAAAAATCCGCCATGCCAGTCTAGCACGCGGGCAGCCAGCACCTCTCCAGCCCTGCAATTTTGCTGCCTTGAACGTCGCTGCCTCCTGCGCCGCAGCCTGGCTTTTCCCATTAGCGGCAAAGAAGTCCTCCCACAGGGTGATGGGGCTCAGCCCGCCATCCCCTTCAGGCGGCTGGATCAGGAAGATCCTCACAGTGGTTGTGCGTGAATGCCTTAGCGTTCGCATGCACGTGCAGCATGGCGCTGCATCCACCCTCCACCCCTGAGATGGCACCACGCGGGCTCTGAACGTCTGGCTTGTGCCCCATCACCCATGACACATGGCAGTCGCCGCAACTGTCTTCGGTGGGCGCATCAACCAGGTCTTTGTACGCCTGTTTGCACACATTGGCTACCAGAAAGGCATTGGGCGGCTCACGAATCCGCTCAATTACAGTCTGCGATGTCACCTGCTTGCCGCGCCCGGCCAGCGCCCCCTTGGCCCCAGGCGCCTGGTCCAGACTGCATAGCCCGACACAGGGTGTGGTCTAGGCTTTCAGCGCCGTAGCGCCTTTGGCGCACACTGCTGTCCACAGTGCGGTCATGCGACTACGTGCACCAGCAGCACCGTTTCAACGAGTTGGCCAGCGCTACTGCACTACGCAACAACATTGGCGATGGTGGCGGTGTGCTCAGCATCGAGGAATGGGGGCCTCATGCCCGGGTCCCTGGGGCCTTGAATGGGGCAGGCAAAGGGGTGTGTGCATTTCGTGCCCACTAAACTCCCAGCCCACTCAGGGTGCTTTGCGTTCTACCAGATTCCCAACTTTTCTCCAGCTGCTCTCGACACATTTATACCAAGCTTGTTCACCCAAATTCCCAAGTCGATACCTATCTCTCAGTTCTTACTAATCCCAGGCACCTGCAAATTAGCGGCGCGAACACGCGTCCCACTGCATAGAGGCCGCGGCCCGCGCTTATGATGTGGAGCATCACCCCCCATCCCTAACCAGGCTGGAACCAAGAGGGCCACTGGCCCCCCTTGCCTGACAGACAGCTCGTGCTGCAGGAAGAGGTGGACCACGGCCGAATGTTACAGTAACAGCACCCAACTGCATCCCGCCAGCTGCAGAGGCCCGGCGCGCCGCATCAAACGCGGGAAGGCACCGAGCCGGCCCCGGCCGTCGCGGCCTACGCCGCGTGCACCGCGGCGCCCGCCTTGTGCCACTCTGGCGCCGCCACCCCGTGCTGCAGCAGCGACCGCGCCATGTCGACCAGCGTGGCCCGCACAGGGTGCAGCTCGACGCCCAGCTGGTGGGTCACCTGTCGGTCAACACGATTTAGAGTAAAGTTGGAGTTTGACCGGCATTTGAGTTTGACCGGCGTGGCGGCGCAGCAGTATGGTGGCGCGTTGGCGTTGGGGGGTGTCGAGTTGGGCGGCCGAGCGCTGGACTTTCGGGTAGCCAACCTTGGCGATACATGTGCGGGATAAAGCACACGCACACAGACATCCTCCCATCATTCAACCTTGCGCACGCATGCGCCGCTTCCTAAACCCGAATCGACAAAGCGCGCAGTACACGCACACCCACGCGAGTGAATTCGTCACAAATGACAACACACACCGGCGCAAGCAGATGGGTGCATCTTGCGCGCTCACACGCACACACGCTCCCAAGAACGCACGTTTACCGACCCACACCCACACAAACACACACACAACACACACAAAAAGTGTAACACACACACACACACACACGCGTGCGCGCACACCCACAGCACGCCAACAGGCCCCACCTTGGATGCGTCGATCGTCTCCTTGGTGTCCGCGCGCACCCCGTCAGGCAGCCCCTCCGCAGCGCCCGGCAGCGCCTCCTTCAGAGTGTCCGTCACAAACCTGCGGCGATGGCGGTGACTGCGACGCGTTGCACACAATGCGCGGGCCAAGGCGTGGGATTGCCCAAGCGCAGCTGCGATGGCTGACGCGTGAGATGCGTCGGATGAAGGCATGGGTGGTGCAGCCAGCACCCTCCAAGGCGGCGACCACCAACACATACTCTCGCCTCAGTCCAGACCTCGCCCCCATCGCCCCCGCTGAGCACCACCCCTCCCGCCCCGCTGCGCTTCGCGCCCCGCCCGCCACCGCCACACCGCCACGACCGCCGGCCCCAGCGCCGGGCGCGCACCGCGCGTCGAATGACCCGGGCTGGCTGACGATGTAGCGCCCAGACGCCTCGGGCCCCTCGGCCGCAGCAATGTGCGCGGCCGCCACATCCCGCACGTCGCACACCGTCCACGTCCCCTCGGGCACCTGCGGGGCCGCCCCAACGCGCCAGGGCGCGCGCGGGTCGTGATGCGCTGCAAACGGGCGCGAGCGACGCGCTGCAGCCGGCTGAGATAGAGGGCAGCCGCCAAATTGCAGTGGACCGAAGCCGCGACCGTGCGTCCCACTGTTGCAGGTGCAGCCACGTTCTCAGTGAGGCTGCATGCTCCTTGAAGGCTGCGCAGCCACCTGGCACGGACCTGGCTCCTCTCCCCGCCGCACCTTGCCCCCCGGTGCCTCCAGAAATTCCTTCATGAAGCCGGTGCTGACGCCGGTGGCCCCCGGGCCCGCCACAGGGCCCAGCACGAAGTTTGGCAGGATGGTTATCACATCCAGCCCGTGCTCCCGCGCCAGCCGCCATGCCAGGCGCTCCGCCTCGATCTGGGGGTTCAACAGGATGGGGGCCGCAGAGGAGTCATGGCGGGCCGTTGCATTGCAGGCGAGGCTGCGACGCGGTCAGCCTCGCAGCGCTGGCGCAGTCAGGCCGGCCGCGACCTTGATGGGCCGTTAGCGCCCAGCGCTGCACACACTGGTTGCCCATCGCGGCCGCTGATGCCCGCAAAGCTGCAGGTTTAGACCGGCTGAACACTTGCCTGCACCAAATGGCGCCCACCGGCCCCAGCGCCTCCCCACGAGCCCACCACCACCACCCCCCAAAATCGCAGCCCCTATCACCCGCCCACCTTAGACACCCAGTATGGCTCGGCCTCCGCTGTGCTGACAGCATTCCAGTCCTCCTC